AAGGCATCAATAAAAAAAGAAAAAATATTTAAAGTCTGTACATGTTCAGCACAGATGCAATTTTTTCCCCAAATATTTTCAGTCCTCAGATGATTGAATCCCAGCCCACCGATCTGAAGGGCCAGCACTCCTGGGGGATATGTTATGTAATGATGGTGTCTGTAGGCATCCCACGTTTATGGGCATATCTCCAGTATTTTTTTTTATTTCAGCATATTACAGGGGTACAAATGTTTAGGTTACATATATCGTCTTTGCCCCACCGGAGTCAGAGCTTGAAGCATGTCCATCCCCCAGACGGTGCGCACCAAATCCACTAGGTGTGAATATGCCCATCCCCTCCTCCCCGCTCCCACCTATCTGACACCTGACGAATGTTACCACCATGTATACACATAAGTGTTGATCAGTTAGTACCAATTTGGTGGTGAGTACATAGGGTGTTTCTGTTTCCATTCTTGTGATACCTCACGTAGTAGAATGAGACAGGAGGATGAGACAGGAGGATGGCCCGTGCCCACAGTGGTGAGGGCAGTCTTCCTCCTGCAGTCTCCTGGCTCCAGTGCGCACCTCTTCCAGAAACACCCTCACAGGCACACCCAGCGACAGTGTTCTATCAGCAATCTGGACATCCCTGGCCCCTTCAGTTGACACATTAACTTAACCACGACACCCTTCTCTCGAGTAGAAGCAGGACCCGTGCATCGCATCTAACTGGCAGAAACTGGCGAAGGTGATGGGCTGTGACACCTGCGATCGTGACACGCCCCATCAGGCTCTGTCTTGCCAGCTGACACTCTAGAATACCTCTTTCTGTCATTGTCTTTGAAGGCACAGGCAATGACTTCTGCCTACACTCCAGGGAGCCTGCTAGCAGACCTCTCTCTGGCCAAATCTCTGACGATAATTCCACACAGGCAACACTTGCCTCCTTGGGAGGCCCCAAGAAGAAAACTGAGCGAATCCATTCTTAGTCTCCTGAGCAACAGAAACTGAGAGATAATAAATGGACGTTGCTGTCAACCAGTAAGTCTGCTTTGGAGATGTTCTGCGTCCTCCAAACTAACATACACACACACTAAGGGCGAGGACGTTATGGACGTGCCCCGGCAGTAGCACATTCATTACATGCACCCTCCCCACTAGAGCAAGTGCTTTGTTGTCCTGCGTCTCTGGGAAAACCTCTGGCTGCCCTCCCCTTGCATTCGTACTCCGATTATGCTTAGCTGGAGCAGTTCTGCGTTCGCAGGAGTAACCCAATTCCACGCCTCAGCACAGCTAGGCTGACTCTCACTGTAACTGCTGTGGTTCCATCTATTAATTCAAAGGCAACTTTCTGTACTTTCCTTTTACTGGTCTGGGGCTACAGGAGTCAACAGGCCACATACATTATCGTAATCTTACACATTCAACCAAGGAGTTAGAAAACCAAGTAACCTCCAGCCCCCAGGACAGAACCCTTGGTTGTTGTAGCCACATCCCATCTGGGGACTCTGTATTGCTCACGGGAGTGGAGAAGGCAGGGAAAATCCTCTTGATTTTGTCTGATTGGGGGCCGTCAGAGGGGAGCTCCTGAGTGCAGGGCCTCTTGCCCAGCCCTTCAGGACAGGCCGACTTGCCTCATGCCAGAAGATGGCACTTTCTTCGCTTGTTGGTTATGCATTTGGTGGTTTGGTTCAGGGGACTGATGACTTCTGGCAAAGGTTAGAAAGTCGAAGTTGTGTCATCACTGGCCAAGGTATCGTTTGTGGTGCTGCTCCTACCCCTCCGGATGTGTGGTCCATACAGCTGTTCACATTTCTGCCCCGGGACTTCACTCGGCAGGGACTCTGTCTACGCACGTCATCACCATGTCCTCGCCGCGTCTTGCTGCACAGCTGAATCTTATTGCTGGATAGAATGGAGTAGTAGATTCAAGGCAAACTTATTGAAATGTTATATTATGGAACCATCAACTATAAGAAAGGTGAGGTGACTGTTTAATGTTGGAGACAGATTTCACAACAATGAAATGAGCTATTAGGGCTTAAAAGAACATTTCCTAGTGATAATTGTATTAGTTTATCAAGAATGAATAACTATCCTAAATGTCTGTGAACCCTATATTGAATCTTTTTAAGACATAAAGAAAAAAACTGACAGCAATATGAGAAAAATAGTGAAATCTGCAATTGTAGTTTGACATGCTAACAATGTTCTCTCAGTAATAAAAAAATACAAAATGATATGAAATTCAATAGAGATATAAAAGACTCAGCCACCATTTTCAACCAACTTGGATGTGGGTAAATTGCTTAGTAAACCCCAAGCCACTGTCACTATGAGACGTGGATGTCTGCTGTGCTTACCAGGACAGCAGCTGCAGTCCAGGCCCGCACTGTGAGTGCCACGCTGCTCTGTGCCCCAGAGACTGACGCACGGGACGGTGTCCTTGCTTCCAACTCTTTACTGTGTTGAAGCCTGTGAGTCTTCTTGGTGAGTATCTATTGACAGGCTATCGACCAGCGTCAGTGTTCCAGAGAAGAAGAATCAAGGTGATGCATATATACCTATGGCATATGGTGTTAGCTCACCACGACGTGCAGGCTGGTATGTCCCGTGATCTGCAGGAGACGCGGGGAAGCTAGTGGCGATGCTAAAGCTCTGAGAGCCAGAGAGCGGCTGGTACAGATCTCAGTCAAGCAGTCAGGCAGAGTTAATTCAAATGTCCTCATTGATTTTGTTCTATTCAGGCGCTCAGCTGGTCCAGTGATGGCCACAAACACTGGGGAGGACCATTGGCTCTACTCTGTCCATTAACTCAGGTAATAATCTCTTCCAAATACAGCCTCACATAGACACTCAGAAATAATGTTCAACCAAATATCTGGGCATCCCTTGCCCAGCCAAGATGACGCGTAAAACTAACCATCACACTGTACCCTCAGCAAAAGTTGGCCCCAGGAAGTGCAGGTGTGACCAAGTCTGCTTTGATCCCCTCAAGTTTATGTCAAGATTATAACGGAGATGACAAGTAACTGAGAAGGAAGGAGTGAGGGTCACGTGGGGCTGGAGGCCACTTTCACATTTGACGAGGGAGAGAAAGGGGGCTGGAATCTAAATGGGAAAGGAAGTTTTAACACTTCATATTTAGGAACAGTACCACAGCCTACACGTTACCTGCTAGGAATGGTTTTCCAGAAAGTGGGAACCGAGGCTGAGCTGAGGGCGCTCAGCGCAGAGGTGACGTCCCTGGGTGCACGCTGAGGGCTGGGCCTTGGTTGGGTCCTCAGAGTCCAGTGCCCCAGGTAACCTGGGAGGACAGGAGTGCAGCAGACACTGTCGCCACCCTTCCCAAACAGTAGGATCCATCCCCTGATTGAACCCCAAGACTCTATTTTTCACCCAGACTCTCTGTAGTTTCTGATGCAGCTTCCAACTGGCTCCAGCTCAGAAAGTCTGTCCCTGGTGTCTGCTCCCCACCCTCCTGGTACGTGATTGGTTTCTGACTCATTGTACTCGGGCTCAGATTTTGTAGTGGGAGTCACGACCCTTCATTCATTCCATATTGTTCTCTCACCTTTCTTCAGTCGGTCTCAATAGGGAGTCTCCCCCCAGGGACCTGGGTCTCTGAGCACCTACAGAACCGAGATTTGGTACTGTATGGAACACAATGTCCCACTTCACCAGACTACACCTTCTTTCGGAGAACCTCAGATGGTGGGAGTCCTGTCCCCAAGCCTGGCTGGCCTCAGCCCTAGGGAGCTGGGATGTACTGCTTTCGATGCACATGGAAGTGGTGGGGGTGGAACTCTGTTAGTCACAGTTCCTGGAAGGCTTCATGGAGGTGTCCTGAGAGGCGTCAGAGTGTAAAGAAGTAAGGTAGGTGCAAGGTGTGTGGTGGGCTGAGAACCTCCACGGGCCCACCTGATGTTTTCACAACATTGCATCTCCAAACACAAATGCCCAGGATGGACAGAGCACAAGGCAGGCCTGGAGCTCATGCGACAATGACATGGCACTATAACAAGCTCCAGGATGGCTAGAACCACATCACAGGGGACTGTGCAGGGAATGCAGGACACCTGGCTCCGCACTGTGACTGTGGAAGCAGGACCCGCAGCCGCAGGGAGGGGAGAGCTGGCCTGAGTCCAAGGAGGGGCTAGAAGGGCTTGAAGGAAGGCAAGAGACGTGTCCCTTCATTCTGTCTCCCACATGCCTCATAGACCAAGTGATCTCTCATCTCAGACTCACGCACCCCATGAATTTAAGAGAAGGGTTGTCCTGTAGAGATTGCAGAAGTACTAGGAAAGCCTCACCTAGGTCTCTTTCCACTTAAAAATATAGGGCTCCCACACCTGAACTCTTCAAGCTCTGGGGGAAATGCCCAGGCTTGGGCTGTGCACACTAATAGTTCCTGCCTCAGACAAGGCTGAGGGCTCTGGGAAAGAGAGTTGTGGTGTAGGAGAGGATGCATTGTTAGGGCTTTTATTTTTCCTGGTGAATCAACCCCCCAGATGAGTGTCTCAGACGTTAGGCATCACATTGTGGGGATGTTTGTGATTATACGTGACTGACAAAGACTGATCCTTCTTGTCCCCAGGAGTCCTGTCCCAGGCGAAGCTGCAGAAGTCGGGCCCAGGATTGGCAAAGCCCTTGTAGACCCTCCCTCACCGCACTGTCGGTGGCCCCTTCGTTTCCAGTGGTTCCTCGTGGCGCTGGAGCGGGCGGCCATCGCACCGGGGCTGCACTGTTGGGGTGCAGACCCCCTGCAGGGAACACACTGAGTCAGCTCAGCGTCACGCGTCAGATGTCCACACACTCTTTTCCCTTCTTTTTGGCTTCAGTTTCTCACATTCTCACTTCGGGCAGCAATGGAGGAAATGGCTTTCTTTGCTTGCAGGTGAGATGTGTCCGTTCGGTGGGGCGTTTCCCTGCATGAAGTTCCTGCCTGACCTGTTTTCCTTCTCAATAAGTGATCATCTTGAAGATGGCCATCATTCCTTGATAGCAAATGATTTCCCCAAATCCCAGCTCACTCCAGGCACACGCTGTCCCTGCATGGCAGACACACACGGGCACCGCAGAGTCGTGTGACCCGTCACCTCTGCCCCACAAGGGCTTCTGTCCTCCCTGCATTTCACCCCAGCTTCTTAGGAGTGGACCTTGATCATGAGCTGCTCCCTTCTGTCTCCATCGTCCTCCCCGGAGACACAGGAGTCCAAGGGCTGGGAGCAGCCGTCAGATTTCCCAGGAAAGGAGGCGGGAAGACAAGCCTGCCAGGCTTGCCGGGCTGTGCACTGGGCAGGGAGTCTATAAGCAGCCCTGGGGACTCTGGCCCAGGCTGTGTCTCTCAGCTCTGAGGAACCACGTCCTCGGTAACAAGAACCGGGTGGACGAGTCCTGATCCCTGAGTGGTGTCTTCTTTTCCCTGCAGGTCCCACAGAACCCCTCTCCAGTGTTGTGCTGTTTCTGTCGTCTGTACGTATGCACTTCTGTCTCCACACCTTGAGCTCTCGTAATCTGGAACCCTTTTCTCTTCCTCCTTGCTCCCTCACCAAGTGCCAGTCGCAGAGGGGAAGGTGAACAACGGTTTGCCTGTCAGTGGACCCCATCCCAGTTCATCCTCTGATGCCCACCTCGTGTGTCCACCCACCCATGTACCAGCCAGGGCTGTTTACACGAGTGGCCTGAAGCTGGACTCAGCCACCCTGTCCAGCCCACATGTGCACGCGTGTAAGTCCAGGTCACACAGGCTCTGTGCAGGACGTGCTGTGTCATGAGAGGGCACACCTGGCTGCTGACCCCAGGAGACCACTGGCTATTCACCCACCTTATGCCAGATGCTGGGTGTCATCCGAAGGGCCCCGTTAGCTGCATCACAAGCACATGTATTGCTGGTTCAGACGGTGGTCACGGAGTGGCCTGGGCATGCTGGGCGTGTCCACCAGTGCTGATGGCCCGTGACAAGAGCAAAGATAGACAGTGAAGTAGATTTGATCTTAAGCTGTGAAACAGACTTAAACCAGGACTGAGAGAGGGCTCTAGAGCCGAAAATATGTTTAGAAATTTTTTTACTTATAGCAAAAGCAAATGAGCTAATTGTACTACTTAAGAAATTGAACAGAGAAAAGAAAGTGTGTATTTAAATTGAGTATTCGTAGTCAAATATTTAAAAATGACTTCTACTTTTTTTAATATTCACTCACATTCTCTAAAACTGCTGATTAACTTCATTTTGCCCTGAAAAGGACAGTAAATAAAAATGCGCATATCAAATCAACCCGCTATACTCCAACTTTTGTAATTAATACGGACATTGTCAATGTTGCAAGATATTTTTATCTTTAGTGTCCTTATATTAGTCTCCTCTTCCTAGAGAAAAGTACTGACCTTAAATGTGAGCTCTTCCCATCACAAAATCTTTGGTGGATAGAAGGAAAGGTAGATGAGATGCCAAATCGTTCAGCTTGCGTGGTTCAAAGAGACCAGTAGGGGACGCTGGAACTCTCCAGAGTCCCTAACCAGCACGTCTCGGGGTGATTTTGTTAGCAGTTGGCACTGAAAAACCTTCATGTAAATAATGCCATCTTCCTCCCAGGTGAAACTCTGTCACTCTCCATTGACAGCTGAGTTGAGCATCGTCTGCACCTGGTCTCCCCCGCCCTGTTCTCTCTTCAATGCGCTCTAGTGTTTGTGCTGCACGAACTGCGCTCTCCCTGGCAGAGACATCATTTCGCTCTGTCAAATCCGGTCAACCCTCAAGGCCTCACTCCCTGCAACCTCTGCATGGACTTGGTCCCCGTCGGCCACTTTTACTTTCTCGGAACAATAACTTCTGTTTTTGTTTTTCTGCCAGCTCTACTCGACATCTCCATCACATGCTCTGATGTTTATTCCACATCCCTCTCAGGAATTATTCTACGTATCCGTGCCAGAATACTCCAGGTCCACGAACATTTCAAATTCCTGTCACGTGCACAGATCTTTAAAATGTCACAGCCCCTCATGACGCCAGTTGCCTTAGGAGCCCGGTGGATGCGGTTCTCTCGGCGCTGCGCTGGCTGTGTTCACGCCGGCTTCTCCCCGCTGCGACGTGGGCTCCGACGGCGGCTGCCGCCCAGCAGGGCTGACTGAGCGCTGAGCTGAGTGACGAGTCTCCATCCCCCGAGAACATCCAACGTCATCTTGGTAGCAAGTTGATTACCTTAGAGAATATCTACCCTAGAAGGGGAGAAATTTGTCTGAACCAGAATTGACTAATTATCTAATGTCGATTTGCTTTCATCACTTCAGTGCTTCTGCCGTAGCTACCCTCCACGATACTGACGTCTGAGTCTCAGTATGATGTGAGATCACGCACAGCGGTGTCTAGGATCAAGGAGTCTGGTTGCCGTGGAGGGATAGGAGGTGTTGCCGTGGAAACGTGAGTCTTGGGTCCAGGGTTCCTATATCTCTCAGATTTCCCCCAACACAGACAATTGCAATAGAAAGATGGAAGGGCTGATTCCAGTCTCTGTAAATGGGCTTTGGTAGGCTTGACCCGAGAAGTTTTATGACATCATCTTTCAGGAAGAAATGTAAACCCTAAACCCAAGTTCATTACAGTGATGCCCCTGTGCTCACACTGCAGCCCAGGAGCCAGAAAGCGCAGGATCAGAAACCAAAGTTTTGGAGTACAGTTGGCTCCCCTCACATCACCTACGGTGAACACTTGTGGAGTTTTTCCTGTTGTCTCCACAGTCGTAGGTGGTGAAGAATCAGAGGCCCTGGTTCCAAGGGAAGAACGCTTCCATTCTTCAGCAACAGGCAGCACAAACCGTGTCAGCTAAACACCCAGTGGTGGCTGAGTGACCCAGAAAGGGGCCACTCCCTGTCCAGGCAAGCAGCACTGCCACTCCCAGCCCTGAAGTGCTGCTCGCCAGTCAGGGACACGCCGGGTCTGGGAGGGAGGCCGTGGTGATGGCCGTGCGCAGCAGTGGACAGTGGAGCTCCCTCCAGAACTGCTCTGTGTTTCTGCTTGCAGTTCCTAAAATGCTATTCCTGACACACATCTCCCCCAGGACAATCACATCAGCTTTGGGCCCCGCCCCTCCCTCAGGTGTCCCACCCAGAGCTTGCTATATAGCAGGGGACATGCAAATAGGGCCCTCCCTCTGCTCATGAAAACCAGCCCAGCCCTCACCCTGCAGCTCTGGGAGAGGAGCCCCAGCCCCGGCATTCCCAGGTGTCCCCATTCGGTGATCAGGACTCAACACAGAGACTCACCATGGAGTCTGGGCTGAGCTGGGTTTTCCTTGTTGCTCTGTTACAAGGTAATTCATGGAGAACTAGAGATATTGGGTGTGTGAGTGGATGTGAGTGAGAGAAACAGGGGTGTGTGGCAGTTTCTGACCAGGATGTGTCTGTGTTTGCAGGTGTCCAGTGTGAGGTGCAGCTGGTGGAGTCTGGGGGAGGCTTGGTCCAGCCTGGGGGGTCCCTGACACTCTCCTGTGCAGCCTCAGGATTCAGCTTCAGCACCTACTGGATGTGCCATTTAGAACTGTCCTCCTGCCTCCCCTCATCGTTCCTGGACACTGGGTGAGCACCGTCTGGGCGGCTCAGAAGCTGTGCCAGCTTTCTTAGCCTGAGGGGGATGGAGCAGGACGGTTGTTCCCAGGTTGCTGGTGTAGGTGCTGCGGCCACCCTGAGCAGGTGTAAACTCCCACCTGTGGGTGGGGAAGAGTGCACGGGAGAGGTTCCCTGGGGTGTGGGGTGGAGCGAGGGGCGGCTGCGGGGGCTCTATGATTGTACCATGAAGTGAGGAAATACACTGAGAGAGGCCCAGGAGTGGACCAGCGGCATCTGAAATGTGGGCTGGATGGGGTTTAGAAGAGTCAAAGACGGGACAGCAGGATGTGTTTGGAGAAGGGGTGGGAGGTCTCTAAACAGCATCTATAAAAGAAGTACAGTGTTAACTGTGCATGTGTTTAGAAAAATGCTGAAATCAGTATTACTATAGACTAAGTCATTTTCTGTGCAGGGTATGGAGAGTGTAATTTCTTAGGTTTGTGGGCTTTGTCTTTTAAATTTTTAATGATGTGCCTTCATTGCAATGAAAAAAACAGGTATCATTTAAAATTTTAATATAAAATTAATTTATTTACTGATGCACTTATTTTCATGAATTGCACTTTATTTGATGAAATAATATTTATTTAATTTATTTGGATACACTGGGCATATGCCTGCTCTTCTGAAAGCCTGGCTTCTGTTATTCGTTGCAACTGACACAGTTTACCGACTTTCTCACCTCATTGAAATGGGGCGTGAGGAAGGGAGGGAGGAACTGACGTTCACCGAGCTCCCGCTCAATGCCAGAGACCTTGCTGGGCATTTTTGCCTATTTGTTTTTCTGACTGAACTTCCTTGGATGCAGTGTTCAACCCCACAATCTCGGTTTCCCGCCAGGAGAATGTGGGCTCCAGGCGGGCACAGCTCGTGCTCAGTGGGGTGTCTGGACCCATGTCCCTCTCACCCCAAAGCCCACAGCCACCCCCGTGAGGAACAGGCAGCTTGGGCAGGGAGCAGCCCTGGATCGCCCTGAACCCACTTTGGGTTTTAGAAGACAGATTACCTGGAGAACGAGGAAAACCTGCTTGCTCGGGAGCACACTTCGGAGAAATGCCACGAACGTGCCCTTAAAGGAGCTGGTAGCAACTTCGGTTAATTCTGGGACCAGCGACCTCAGGTCGGGACCCAGTAGTTGGCTCAGGTCACCTGTCCTGGTCAGAGGCTCAAGCTCAGCTTGGGCTCCTCATGGCCTATAAAAAGATGTAGAAGACACAAGCACATGGTTTCGAAGATTTATTTCAGAGTGAGCGTCGGTGACCTAAAAAGAGAACTTGTGACAGAAGCCAACGCCTCCCATTCTCCCATGATGTGAGAGGACCCCTGAGTCTCCCGCAGACTCCAAGAAACGTGGACGTGAACTTGGCCGTTTTCTCCACCGATCCTTTTGCCTAGATGTTCCGACTGTATTCCCCATATTTTTACAGGGGTTCGGCAGGTGGCTCTCTTCCTGTGGGCTCAGAATATGTCATTTCCTCAACTTTGGTAGTCTTAACAGATCGAATACCTGAGGCCACCCCAAAGAGCAGTACACCTATCAACGCATAAATACGAGCAAAGACCACTCTCAAATATAACATTGATTGCTTGTTTTGTCTTATTTTCCGCCTTCTCCTTGGAGGGGGTCCGCTGTCCGCACTCCCACCACCACCTCGTCGTAGGCACAGGGGAGGGTCCCAGCCTATGTGGCAGTGGCAGTTCCTTTTGTTGTTGCAAACACCCCGACGATTGCACTTCCCAGGGTCGCAGTCGTAATTCAGGTCAGCCACAGTCCCGTTGCACCGATTGGCAGTGCAGAACTTTCCAGGAGCACACAGAGTGCCGTTCCTCACGTGGCCGGCATCTGTGGCTCCCGTGGAACGGTGCTCGTCCAGCCCGAAGCAGGGGAGGCCTGATATGATGGACTGGTGGAAGGAAACGTGTTCCTGAAGGTGGGGGAGATGGGTGACGTTGGTGCACTGGAGCCTCCCACACATCCTGTCCCGTCTAGCACAGCCGACGAAGGTCATTTTATCGTACTCTCTGTAACAGTGTCCGAATCGGCTCGTTCCCATGTTTATGTTGTAGCAGATCTCGTGAGCGTTCTCCGCGCTGGCACCGAAGATCTCCTTGCAGTGCATGCTGCGGTCGGTGCAGTTCCCTTTGTAGCAGTAGCCTTCCTGGGTGCACGGGGTTCCGTCTTGCATGTAAACGTTTCTGGGGCAGCTTATGGAGGACCCGGTACAGTACTCTGGAAGATCACATATATTCCGGACAGGTCTGCAGAGGGTCCCGGAAGGGGAGTAGGTGCAGTTGGTGCAGCACGACCCTATATGACAATTGCTTCGGGGTGTAAACCGGCAGTTGCTTTTACAGCACTCGCTGGTGTAGCACTGCTTCAGGGAGCCACAGTCACACTGCTCTGTGTCCTCCACTACGGAGTTGCCGCAACGAAACTGCGTCATGCTTTTATTGTGAAATTCTGGATATGGTACGAAGAGACACGCCCCAGGCTTTCCCATAGCTATATGTTGGAAATGTATAAAGGAGCAGTTGCTGAATGCGTCCGTCAGCTTGGGGAACTGCTCCATTATGCAGGAACTTCTTCTGAGGCATCTGCACTCTTCGTCATCATAAAACATACCATAATTTCTCATAATTTTATTGGCTATTACGATAGATAGAATTAAATAATGTCTATATAGATAACCAACATGCAGTAGGTTCTCGCCACGGCACAAGCCATACAGGACAGGCGCAGCTTGGTGATCACGTGGCCAGTCTTTAATAAGCAACACGGATGCCGTAATAACCGTGCGGCTAGAAAAGTGTTGCACATAATAAGTAAACATCTGACTTCCTGGAACCCTGTAGTCGTTCAGGGGGGCGGGATCCCTGTCCGTGTATATGGTTATGAGAGTAAGCAGGAACCTCGAATTAAGACCGCGAAGCATGTTGTCAGACAGACTGGACAGCCGCACTACGAACTGGATGCACATCGAGATGTTTGCAAACATCCGGAACATGGAAGTGGAACACTGGACTTGGCCTATGACGTGGGACGCGTGCGAAGCATAGCCCGACGGAGAGAGCCTGGGAGCCGCGCTGGGGTCCGCCTCGGAGAGCAGGGCGCCCACGTCCTCCCTGTGCCGCAGCGTGTACATGGGCCCCGTCGCGTTGCGGTCGGCCACTATCTGGGAAACGACGTGTTCGAAGCTGCGGGAGTCCTTCAGGGGCTTGATCTCGTAGGCAAGGTCATCCAGCTTCATGACTCCGTGCAGGCCGCCGTAGCACATGTCGACGGCGACCGTGGAGAGAGGAATCTCCTCCAGGTAGCCGAGGTAGTAGCAGTCTGCGGGCACGTAGGGGTGGTCCATCTGCAAGGCTCCTTGGTCATCCTGGGTCATCACCAGCAGGTGTCTGGGCCAAAACAGTATTTTTCTCCGCAGGTGGATGATGTGCCTCTGGCCCCCGAAACGCAGGCTGTAGGAGAGCCAGCCAGGCGCCTGGAAGCCTTTGCCACGGCGCGTCTCCTTCCTAGGAGTCACCACCTCCGAGGACACGTAGCGCCAGGAGGGACGGCCCTGAGAGCCCTGGACCGAAGCCAGGAGCGCCCAGAGCCCGAGCAGCACCAGGGGGGCCCTGAGGGCGCCCGTCCCCCTGCCCGCCTCGCAGCCCAGCTCGGGGGGATTCATCCAAAGAGAGTGGCAAGAGGGGGCGTCCTCGGGAAGCCAGGTCTGAATCGGCTGCGGGGAGACTCTGACAGGGAACAAAGGGGCTCCTCAGGCCCCAGCTCCCAGCCTGGGTGGTTACCTGGACGACCGGAACCAGTAACAGTCACAGGGCGCGGCAGCGGGTGGCCCGGACATCACAGCCGGGGAGGTGGCAGGGAGGGGTCTCACCTGGGAGGGGGCGAGGGAGGGAGCAGGGTGCGTGCGCACTCACCATGCTCAGTCTTCTCTCCCGTCTCTAAATATATACGATTATCATATTTTCAATTACCTTGTTTATGAATTATATCGCCCAAGTCACTCTGGGTTTGTTTCTATGGGTTAATGTTTCTCTTTATTAGGAGTCACATTTCCTACTTGTTTGACATTTGGAGGCAGACGTTGTGAATGTCACCCTTTTGGAAGTCAAAGATTCGATGCGCTAACACATATCCATGCTTGGTCCTGGTTAGAAGTTAGAGGTTTGGAAACAGTTCGATGCTCTTGATTTTTGCTTTGAAGCTTATTGGGGGTACCAGATCAGCAGTTAAATA